TCGCTCCTTTTTACTCAGGACTCATCGCTCCTTTTTACTCAGATAGGACTCATCGCTCCTTTTTACTCCTCAGATAGGACTCATCGCTCCTTTTCACTCAGACAGGACTCATCGCTCCTTTTTACTCCTCAGATAGGACTCATCGCTCCTTTTCACTCAGACAGGACTCATCGCTCCCTTTTACTCCTCAGATAGGACTCATCGCTCCTTTCTACTCAGATAGGACTCATCGCTCCTTTTCACTCAGATGATAGGACTCATCGCTCCTTTTCCCTCGTTGGTCTATTTCCTGACATCCTCAACAAATGCTTCTTCAGTGGCAGGTGCAAGAGAATAAAGCGGATGATTTTAAACTCTTGTGGTTTGCAGACGAATAAAAACAACACTTTATCTCTGTGCTGTTCTACCACCAAACCCATTACTTTGGTCTCATCCCGAGGAAAACATCAGATAATCCCAACAGAGGGACATTCTTCAAAAAGTCTGAACCGGAAGTCTCAAAGCTATCAAGACAACAGACACAAATCAAGTCTGAGAAGCAGTCACAGTCAAGCGTAGTTCAAGACATGATGACTAAATGTACATGATATCCTGGGTGGGAGCCTGGAACAAAAAAGGGGCCACCGGGCAAAGACTAAGGGGATGTGAATGAGTGTGGACTTCAGTTAATAATAATATTGGTGCACTGATTATGACAAATGAATCATGCTAATGAAAGACGCTGATTGCAGGGGGAAACTAGCCACCAGGCACCTGGCATTGTCCTGTACTGATTTCACAACTTTTTTTGTAAATCTAAATATATTCTCAAACAGGAGCTTTATTGAAAAAAGATGGAAGGGGCTCCTTTCTCTGCCTGCCTCTCACTCCATTCCGCTCCAGAAGCAACTCCCTTAATTCCCACCGGATGACAAACGGAGACGCAGTGCCAGGCACAGATGTCACGGACCTGTGCAGGGTTTCCAGGTACCCAACATCATCCTCTTCTTAAAAGCACCCAGTTTTCTCAGGAGGGAAACACTGCCCCCCCGGGATATGCTCTTAGTGAAAGATGACTCCAGGAGCCCACCTCTCATTCTGGAAGCCACACCAGCTCCCTCTCCTACCCTGGGGAACAGACAGCAAGTAGGTATGTGAGCCACTGGGAGCTTCCCAAGAGTCTTTGCACCTTTGATTATAGCAAGAACAGAAGGAACTTCTGAAGGAATTCGTTGTGCCGGGCCGGGGAGGGGTGCTAGGCAAGAAGGCTGTTGCATCTACACCAGGGGAAACTTCCCCCTCCCACCCTGTGCATTGCCAAGGCTAGTGCCCCCATGCCTTATTAATTCTTGAGACCCAAAATATACAACCAACTAACCTTTCATGTATTTATTTTCTTAGATTAGCAGGCTGGGATTTATGGCCTGCAGCTAAGAATATTACTGGCTACACCAGGGCATAGTTCACCTGAAATAGAATAAGGAGACATCTTTTCCTGGTCCAAGGCAGGTTCAAAAGCTGTATCATTCAAGTGAATCGAGTTCAGGGCCAAACCACCTCAAACCACCACATATTATTTCTAACAACTGAGATTCCCAAACCACCAAAGAATATCTTTTGAGGCTTAACAACCCCTGGCCCACTTTGCCCCCTTGTCAAATATTCTTTCTTTATTCTCTTTCTCTTTTGTTTACAACTCTTATCTTTGCAAGAATATCTACTTGGTAATAATGCCTTATTCGGAGATGGCCTTAGGTCTGACCGCAGTCTGGGCATGAGATTCTTAACAAACTCTTGAGTATTTAGCATGTAAAACTGTAAAGACTTCAGCAAAGTATATGTATTGGTTAATAATTAACAATATGCCCATTCATTCATTCATTCATTTAACCAATCTAAGCATATCTCTGACTTTGAGAAAAGCACCCAGGCATCTGAGTGCCATGCCTCTGTTCTGGCCCTTTCCACCTGCATTTCCTGGAGTATCAGGGAACCAAGCTAATGCTATGCAAATATCTGGCTTCAGGCTCACATTCAGATCTGACAACCAGACTCCTTTGAAATTGACTTCCTGTGGGACGAAGCAACCAAAAAATAGGTGGGAACGATGAGCAAGAAAGAGCTTTCGAGGCCTTTGATTCTCCGGACACATAATCAGGTGATGGGAGACCTAGGATGCTTCTGACATTAGCTCTCTGTCGGGGAAGGAAAGGAGACGGGGTGGTGAGAACATGCAAGAAAGGGTACAAGTGCTGTGGGATGCTTCTGTTGTCCACTGGAAGGAAAACATTCTCTGAAATTAAAAGGGATCCTTAGATGTCTAAAGAACAGAAGCATTTTGCTTTTCTTCCTTTGTGGAGGTCTGCTTTGGAAGACTCAAGCTCCAGGAGAGAACAGAACTTCTAAGATGACAAACAGCCCCATCCTGGTTTTCCTCTGTGCAGTGGTTAATGCACACGCGTGCACCCTCCCAGCTATTTTTGTAAATTGCCCTTACGGATAATTTGCACGACAAAACTTGTTTCCCAGAATGGAAGCTGAGCCCCTGTGTGTAGCCACAGAGTCACCCAGAGATCACAGGCGCAGAAGTGACAGGAAGGTGGCAGTATGTTGTCAAACACTGTCTGCAGCAGGAGTCCTGTTGAAGGCAGGTAATTTGGTCCCCCCTCCACCCTGGCCATCCTTAAGTGGCGAGGGAAGTCCTACTGACAGCCGATCTATAAAACATTAGCCCAGCTCTGGACCTCGTTAGCACTGTCACCGCCGAGTCTAGAAACAAGTCACCATTGCTGAGGAAAGCACCCAAGGATACTTGGCTGGATCCTTCAGGGTTATTTACAGCAGATGGCGAGATAGAGCAGGCCCATGCTAATTCTAAATATTTGGAAGCTATGCTAAACGAGTGTCAAATTGGCTTCATTAAAAAAGATACACAGTTTCCTTATTTTCTAATTATGACAATTCCGACTAAAGGCTAATGACATTACCAGATCCAGGTTTCCCCTCAGCTGTTTTCATAAACAGATAAGACTCATTCCTAATTAGAGCATGTTAAGTATTCAACAGGCACATTATTAATGCCATCCTTTAACAAGATGGAAAGTGTGCCACTTTACCAACTTAAACACACGTTCATGAAATATTTACTGATTTACTCTTGTCTTAACTAGAAAACTGATTTTTTTAAACACCTTTCTAATTGATGGACTCTGAACACATAACACTTTGGCTCTACATCCAAAATTTTCCAATATTTTGACTTGGAAGTGGAGCCACCCAATCTAGATGCTTCAAAGGTGCTTCAAAGACTTGGATCCTTTAGATCATGTAGCCCAGGAGCAAACTTCTCCGTGTCGCAGCTTGTCGATGACAAGGCAGCCTTCAGGACTCAGAGGAACACCTCAGTGGGCAGTGGATTGTGGCTGGATGCACAGCTATTTGTGAAATTTAATTCTACATATATAACCGATTCCCAAAAAAACCGATGTGGATATCATCTCCTGGAGAGTTAAAACTTTAAGAGATTCTGGTTCGTAAACCAGGGTCCAGGAAATCAACGATCAGTAGTTGGCAAACAGAAAAAAATGTCGGAATATGAAATCATGTGATTTCCCCTCATTCAAAACCTTGAGTTTCCATCAGCAAAATATTTCTCTATATAAACAGCCATCTCCATGAAGAATATTATATAAGAGCGTTGAGCCTGAGAAAACCAAGCACAGAGCTAGCACACCAGCCAGAGGGCCCACAACCAGCTCAATCTAGGTCTGATTTCTGAAGAACAGAAGGGAGAGATCATGAGGCCTCAGACCCACAGATGTGTTTATGTGCCCTAAATCCCTGTGCTTAATCCCCAGATGCGCCTCCAACCCCAGCCAAAGGTTTTACCTTCCAACAATCAGCCAAGTTCAGTCATGAGGTTAATGCTGTCTATTGGTTTCTGTTTCTTCAGTTGAGATTAAAAGGGAATTCCCAGCACTAGGTCACAATCAACAAAACTGAAATGTGCAAAGTATAAGCAAAAGAATGACTCCTTTCTTAAACTCACCCACCCCTTAACAAACACAGAAAGAAAGAAGTTTAAAAAAAAAAGAAAGAAAGAAAGAATGGGAGAGGACAAGAGGGTGATCGTTACTGGATGAACTATAAAAACCAACATATAAATGTGTGCCATGTCCACTAACACTCCTGTGTTCAGAAGTCATAAACAAATTTGATTAGATGGCACTTCAGATCAAGTTTCTGGAGTATGTAGCAGTGTCAGGACATATTTAGTGACCGAACAACACTTATGCCAAATAGCTGTTATAATCAGACTCATCTGTGTTTAAAACAAATGAACCAAAAAACTGTTGTGAAAATCCAGTCAAGCCAAGGCAAGTAGCTTCCCTCCCATACTACCTTCCAAAGAGAAAATGCACGCATTCTTTTTCCTAAAGCTCACAGTACTCACTTTCAATGCCTCGTCTCTGGTATAGTCTTATATAAGACACTCGACGAATTCTACTGGATAGCCTTCACACTTTGTGCTCTTTTATATTTTGAGCACTAAGCTCTATTTCCAGAGAGAAACAAAATGATAACTTTGAGATTGGTACCACAGAGCGCACTTAGAACTCACACGTTTGCAATAGATTTTGAGTTGGCACAGCTGCATCCCCTATCCTTCCCGACAACCGTCGCCATCCCATTTGCAGGCTGATTTCAACTGTGAGCCATTTACCCTAAAACCTGCTGAGAACCGCCTGAGCCAGGGCAAAGGCAGAACGTCAGCCTCCTCCCGGCTTTTCTGGGATGGCCCGGAAAACCTAGGAATAAGAAGGTCTTCACCGCCCAGCTGCCAACCCGGAGAGATCCAGCTGGTCTCTCGATTTGACAGCGAACACGGAGCCTGTAAAACCTGGAAGGATGCTTCTGCCCCGGACAACGCTAACACATCTCTCCGGATCAAACACACAGGGTTCCCAGAAGCGCCCTTTGACCTTGGAGATGCTACAGGGAGATACTCCCAATGAACTCACCTCAGCGTGAAGCGGTCCTCGGTGGAGTTTTTGGAGATGGAGACGGGAAATGTCAGCACATCTCCCTGCCTGACCGTCTTTGGCACGTACTGCACGGCCACGTGGTTGTCCAAACGCAGCTCTCTCAGGGGCGGCCGGCTCGGGGTCTGGTAAAGAAAAACACTGCCGATCCTCTGCAAGGGAGGCCCCGACTCATCGATGTCGCTGCGGCCCGTCCGCATCCCTCCGGCTCTCCTGGCACAGTCTCCGCGCTCGTCCCCGGGCTGCAGGGCGTAGTAGAGCTCCACGGGGCTGCCGTCGGGGGGCTCGGGCGACCTCTTCCTCCCGGCCACCACCGTGGGGGGCCCGAACCAGGCGGCCGGGAGCTCCAGCTGCGCCACGCACAGCCCCAGGGCGCCCTGCAGCCGGCAGCTGCCCCTCACCTCCCGGGTCTCCCGGAAGGCGAACACCCGCAGGCAGGGCAGCCTCTGCGCGGGGCCGGCGTCGTCCCAGTCCCTGCCCACCACGTGGAAGAGCACCTGCACGCGGGGCCGGCTCAGGGAGACCTTGTCCCGCAGGATGTGCGCTTTCAGCTTCCAGTTCAGGGAAAACGTGCTGGTGAATCCAAACGGGCTGGAGGGCAGCATCAAGTCCTGGGGTACCACCTGCTCGATGGCGAAAGGCCCGTAGCTGGCATTCAGGACGGGGAACCTCTTGGATTTGTAAATCAGAAAGGACTCCACGCGAGACTGCAGGCTGGAGTTTCTCATGATGTCCTGGTTGGCTTCCTTCAGAAAGAAGGACACGTCCGCGTGGCGGATGTGGTAGGTCACTGGGAGGTAGGTGGGCAGCGAGGAGAACCTCTGGGCGCTTTCCAGGATGCCTCGGCTTGCCACCACTGTCGGGAGGAATCGGGGTTCAGGGGTTAGAAACTCCAGGGCAAGGTTACCAATATTTCAGACCTCTTCCCCCCCTTTATAAGGATTGCCTTGTCTTTGCACTAATTACGCAAAAATTCTTTATGCAAAAGGTCTTACTTAAATCAACTCATCTTATAGGAAGTATATTTCTTTAAAAAAACTGACGCCACTGGAGTAGACAACAGGCACCACTGGCCATGCATAGAAGCTAAGTGTGCAAATAAATAAATTTCAAATCATGCCTTTAATTTTCAGCTAGTGGTCCTGGTGCCCTTAAGAGGCAATGGGTTATGCCTAAGACTTGTTCTCTTTTCGTTAAAGGGAGAGATCCTCATGAGAAAGGTCTTAAGAATGTGCTGGCATCCAACAGAGAAGGGCATTCCCGTTAACTCAACCAGATGGACCAAGACTGGAAACGAGAATGACTTTCTCAGCATGTGGTTTGAGGCTGTGTCCATATTCTACCCAATACTATTCTATGTTCCACCAGATACACACGCTGCACGTAAGGACTCACTGACCATCGGGAAATGATAAAAGGACGTTAAGGTGGGCAATCACATATCAGTTGGACATCACACACTTTCCTTGGGGTTAAGCTCAGAGACGGAGAGAAAAGACCTCGGAAGGATAATGCTAGGAGGAAACCTCCAGAAACAGATGAGATGGGCTGACCACGTCATGTCGGGTCCATGTGTCCCTAGAACCCAAGAACCAAGGGAAGCCCATCACTCATCCTGACCCCAATGCACAGAAAGCATTCTTTTTTTTTTTTTTTTTTTCCCTTACTAAGCATATCCCTCCCTCAGGGGGAACATTCCAAAATGTTATTTTTACATTGCACCTTATATTCTGGAAAAAAAACACAGACACAGAAATTATGTAATTCAAGACCCAACTTAACAGGCTTTAGAAACGGAAATTATTGGCTCTGGGATCACTGACTTCCTAGGCAAAGCTCCACAAGATATCTGAAGCCCTTCTCATTAGTCGCCCTGTAATTATCACTGGTTCTTTTACAGTAAAAGCAACAGAAGCCCTGACATTGATCGGGCCAAACAGTTTCAGAGGCTCACGTGAGCACAGTTTCCGATGCACGACGCCTACATGAGCCTGGACCCCTCTTGGCTGTTGTCTGTGAACAGAGAAGGAAGCAAAGGACTCAGAGAAAAAGGGGTCTTGACTGTGGCTTTGCTGCACAGATCTCGAGAGAGAACAGGCAAGTCACTGAGCCTCTCTGCCTCTCCTGGACTGGTCTGAAGTAGGAGGGCACCAACCAGAGTATGGAGGCCCCCATCCAGTTCTAACAGTGCAGGACACTCAGCTGTGGTCCATCCTGCTTCTGGACAAGAAGCCAGCTTGACATACACTCATCCCGACTTGATGGACAGCCCCGCGGGAAGGGCTCCCTCAATTCCATGGCATCACCCAACTCAGGCCAGGCTGAGCGCCCCAGTTCAGCAACGAAGGTGTCTATGGCCCTGAACCATTTGGAACTTCCAGTATCTGAGCAGTTTCGATTCACCCAAGCGGCGATTTCATATGATTCAACCTAATACATCAGAATTTCTTTTTCAAACATCAGAATATCATAGACCTCACAAGAGACCTCATTCATTTATCAGGACTACATTTTTCTTAAGGTTCTAGAAATCCCTCAGGATTTATATTTTCAATAAACGTGTATTGTCACATGTGAGTTTTTCGTGAAGCTGAAGCACAGGCAGTGAGTTTCGTGCTCATGTTCAGGGTTGAAGCTTTCTCCTTCATCCCATCTCTGGGTACCACCTCCCCTCCCCCACTGTGCTGGCTACACTTCCGTGACTGCTCCGGCTGTGTCATAAATGTCTCTTCTCTGGAATGCCTCCTTTGACTGCATGATTCTGCGTTTATATGCACCATCGATGTCCTTCTGTAGATCTCATACTTCCCTATCACAGGATTTCATGCTCTTCTGTAATTCCCTTCATGCCCCAGTGGGTTATATGCAAGTGAGCAGAGATGACGTATGAGCCTTTTCTCTGTTTTATTCATAGTCCTTAGAAGAGCACCCGACAAATACTAGCTTCTCAGTAAATATTTGAAAAATGAATCAACAAATGAATTATGCTTCCAATATTAAAAAGGCAGATTACATTTTTACATCAGGATTTTATATGCTGTCTCCTCCGTTGCCATCACTCTATAATTAGAATCCTCCATCCTTTTATCCCATGAAGAGCTCCATGTAATCTTGGTGATAAAAGACCTACATCCATCACACAGTGCCCCCTGATTCCTTTTTTTCTTTTTTAATGTCACTGGAGTACAGCTGACTTACAATGTTGGGTTAGGTTCAGGTGTACTGCAAAGTGATTCAGTTATACAAATACATGTATCCATCCTTTTTCAGATTCTTTTCCCATTTAGGTCATCACAGAACACTGAGTAGAGTTCCCTGTGCTACACAGTAGGTCCTTGTTGGTTATCTGTCTTATATATAGTAGTGTGTAGATGTTCATTCCAAGCTCCCAATTTATCCCTCCCCTCACCCCACGTGTCCCCTTTGGTAACCCTAAGTTTGTTTTCGAGATCTGTAAATCTGTTTTGGTTTTGTAAATACATTTTTAAAAATGATACAAATGAACTTATTTACAAAACAGAAACAGACTCACAGACGCCCTGATTCTTATAAATGCATCTTGGCACCACTCGGGTTGTCATCACACCAGCCCGTCATTCATTGTAGACACTGCTGAAGCCAAATAACCAGGTTATAGATAGTCAAACATTAATACCAGACACCAAGGCTCCGTGAACTTTCCTGTTGGAACATCTGACCCCTATTTGAGTACACCAAACTTAACTGTGCAACTAATTACATATTCCAAGGGCAGTGGCTGTGGGTCCTCTGACTTTATTTGGGAAAGCAACCAGGGGGACACCATGGGCACTGTTCAAAGGGAAGTTATTTCTAAGTTTCATTCCATGAAGAGCCTATTTGTCTTTTCGCCTGGAATCTGACCTACATGTTTATCGCTCAAAAATGCTCCAAGTTGGGGGCTTCCCTGGTGGCACAGTAGTTGAGAGTCCGCCTGCCGACGCAGGGGATGTGGGTTCGTGCCCCGGTCCGGGAGGATCCCACGTGCCGCGGAGCGGCTGGGCCCGTGAGCCATGGCCGCTGAGCCTGCGCGTCCGGAGCCTGTGCTCCGCAACGGGAGAGGTCACAGCAGGGAGAGGTCACAGCAGTGAGAGGCCCGCGTACCCCCCCCCCCAAAAAAATGCTCCAAGTTGACCTAAAGCTAGTGTTATTTCCTTTTTCTGTCTTTTTTTTTTTTTTAAACAAAACTCAAAAAGTAATGTTCCACCATGTACAGAATAGATTAAAAGTAAGCGCTTCCCTGGTGGCGCAGTGGTTGGGAGTCCGCCTGCCGATGCAGGGGACGTGGGTTCGCGCCCCGGTCCGGGAAGATCCCACGTGCCGCAGAGCGGCTGGGCCCGTGAGCCGTGGCCGCTGAGCCTGCGCGTCCGGAGCCTGTGCTCCGCAGCGGGAGAGGCCACGGCGGTGAGAGGCCCGCATACTGCAAAAAAAAAAAAAAAGAAGTAAAACTCATTAACCTCAAATCCCCACCGGGGTAGCTATTATAACCTACGAACACCAATTCCACATAAAAAAAGAGCAATGTATCAAATAACAAAGAAGTTGCACGTGGTAAATCTCACTTAATAACCCATTAAGAAAACAAATTACATTTATTTTGGTGCTGTGACCTTATATGCTTATTTGAAAGAAAGTGACATGTTCCCATCGTTAAGCAACGCAGTGACCTCACAGATATTTTCTATTAATTTACCATTTTGAAAAAATAATTTCCCCTAAATAATACTTTTACGAAACCTGAGAAAGATGGTGATTTGAGCACAGACCTTTAAAATTTCCCCTGAGTGGACTCAAAAGCAGTAACTAAGGGAATACGGTAATAAGTAAAAATCTGTGTCTGTGTTGAATATTCAGTGCAAATCGCACGCCCTGGCCTGGGCGAATTCCTGAGAAATTACATGGGATACCAATGCCTCATGCAGAAAATACAGCATGGTGAGGGTTGCCAGATACAACATATAGGAAACCCAGTTATGTTTCCATTTCTAATTGACAGAAATCTTGCATGGGGCATGCTTATAATTAAAAACAAGAACAAAATTTGTTGTTTATCTGAAATCCAAATGTTACTGGGCACCCTGAATTGCTGTTGGCTAAATCTAGCATCTCTAAGCATGACATCATAAAAGAAGATGATAGCCTGGTGGAACTACCTTGATATTTCTAAGAGCAAAGGCCACAGTATCCCAAGGATGCCCCGCACTGGGTAACGTTCCTGATGCCGGCTGCTGACAACATTCGTAATCAGCTGAACTGAAAGACTCAGGAGTGAGTCGGACCACACTGTGCAGAAAACCCCAGAATCAGGGCCTCTTGCTAATGTGGAACAGGAGGTATGACACAGCCTCACTGTGGACTGAGTCCAAAGCCAAAGCAAAATGACTTACAGGAAACTGGTCCCCAGTGTAGCAGCTGTGCCAAACTGAGAGAAGGGACAGTACAACAATGGTCTGGGAATACCAGGAAAGCCAATGCACCCCCATGCTGCTCAGGCTGCTGCATCACCGATATGGGAATGTACCGCCAGCGCCCTTCCAGGTGGACGTTGCATGTGCAGCTCTAACAAGAGCAAGTGGAAACCAAATGGAAAGAAGAGGAACCCACTCCACTGTGTCAGGGAAATTCCAATGCGCTAGAGGCTACCCTCATTCAAGGACAGCTAGAGAGAAGGCAAATACAGACGAAAAACAGAAGGAGAATAAAATGTCTGTTTCAAAAATAAAAATTGCACAATCAAAGAAGAGCATTTGAAAGGGCACTGAAGAGACAGAGGAACAACAAAGCTCTGAAGGGTAGTTACCACAGAATACTGATGTATATTTTACACAGAATAACTTC